CGAGCATCGTAGTGTGTTATTACAAACCTTCTTTTTGTCCTTAACCAACTCGCAAACCAAATATTCATTAAAAATTTTCACTTATTTAGCAACTTCCTTGTAGCATGAGAAATGGCAAAGCTTCTAATCTTTAATTTATTTGTGGCTAGTGTTAGTTAGTGGTCAACCACTCAGCCACGATATATATGAAGCGACCGTGGCTGAGTGGTTACTGTGTGAGACTCAAATTTTCTAGCTCGCTTGTTCGAATCCGAGTTGTTGCTTAACTCTTACTACAATAGTTGACAAAATCACGAATTATTGCGCAACATCAATAATTATTCACTGGAATGCCTTTTTTCACGGTGCATTTTGGAAAAAAATTATTTTCATCGAAATTCAGTAAAGTTTTCACATAGACAGATGTACCGCCTTACAGTGCTGGACTCGATAGACAGCCTCGCTTGTCTGCAAATGGCACAATCACATTCTCCCATCAACAGGGGAGCGCAGATTGCTGCAAAGCCCGGGTTTTTGTGTTCGGAGCATCTGAAGCCGGACAGGCTGCTCCGTCTATTAATCCTACAATTGCTACTTTGTTCTGGCGTTTACCCCTGGCCCTTTTATTGCTCGCCATAAAACCAAAAAATCAAACAAAACCAAGCAATTCACCGAAATCCAATTACTCGCACTACCGCCAACCCGCCAAAGGCCCCACTTTCACATCGCGTCTCAAGCAACCCACCCGTAATTTGGTATTTTTATTCAAACTAACCTCTGCGCAGCAGAATTTAAAATCTTTAAATATAATACAACTAAAGTGCAATGATGTTTCCGGCAAAACCATTGAAATTGCAGCCCTACTATGTGACAAACAAATCCACTCTGCAGTTTGCTAAAAAATCAAGCTGAAAACAGGTAACCGAAATCACTCGATCGGTCCAAGTTACACACTATTTCGAAAAGAAATTATACAAAAACGTGGAGGCCTTCAGATAGCAGTACATAACTCTCGCATTTACGAGGGACCATGGCGGCTCAAAGCATCAAAATGAAGGCCAGCTACCAAAGTCTCCGAGTCTCAAATGTCTACTGCCCGAATGACTATAACAAGTTCCTTACCAAAGACAATAGTTTACTAGTTGGAGTCGTAAATGCTCCTGCCCCTCAATGGATTTTTAACTTTCCTGATGACACCACAGTTGGAGTCTGTACTGAGATAAGTGTCATTTCAAGTTTTACTCCATTAAGCGACTTGAACCAAACCATGCTGCCTTACGACAATACAACTTCATCGTCGACGCCGGACATATATTTAGCATCCCCTCTGCTTCTATTGTCTTTGAGTTGGCAAACCTGTTTAACTTTAAGATCGGAAAAAGACCAAGTTTGATTAAAAGACGTCTTAAACCCAAAACTTAGTTTTTTAAACACTGAAATACAAAAACTAATTGGCAAGAAAAAAGAAAAACCATGGCAAGGTTTCCTCCAGGCGCTCAGTCACTGCATGGATTCAAGCAAATTCTGGCAAGTTGTCTGCTCCTTAAACGGAGCAAAGTCTGTGGTAGGAAACCATCATATCGATTTTAAGGGCAAAATTTTTGACCGCAGCTTCTTTTTAAATCCATATCAAACTCGTTGCTCATCTATCTAAAGCTCCCTACTAGCACGGATTCAGACCTTTCCACTGCACTACTACAGACTTGTCTACAACAGAATTTTTCATATCAGATAGTGTCAACCAAAAGGTGTCCACCAAAACACACTACCCGTCCCTCAAAGTTGCGGAGCCTTTTAGGAAAGCCATTTACGAGGGACCAAGGAGGCTCAAAGCATCAAAATGAAGGCCAGCTACCAAAGTCTCCGAGTCTCAAATGTCTACTGCCCGAATGACTATAACAAGTTCCTTACCAAAGACAATAGTTTACTAGTTGGAGTCGTAAATGCTCCTGCCCCTCAATGGATTTTTAACTTTCCTGATGACACCACAGTTGGAGTCTGTACTGAGATAAGTGTCATTTCAAGTTTTACTCCATTAAGCGACTTGAACCAAACCATGCTGCCTTAGGACAATACAACTTCATCGTCGACGCCGGACATATATTTAGCATCCCCTCTGCTTCTATTGTCTTTGAGTTGGCAAACCTGTTTAACTTTAAGATCGGAAAAAGACCAAGTTTGATTAAAAGACGTCTCAAACCCAAAACTTAGTTTTTTAAACACTGAAATACAAAAATTAATTGGCAAGAAAAAAGAAAAACCATCGCAAGGTTTCCTCCAGGCGCTCAGTCACTGCATGGCTTCAAGCAAATTCTGGCAAGTTGTCTGCTCCTTAAACGGAGCAAAGTCTGTGGTAGGAAACCATCATATCGATTTTAAGGGCAAAATTTTTGACTGCAGCTTCTTTTTAAATCCATATCAAACTCGTTGCTCATCTATCTAAAGCTCCCTACTAGCACGGATTCAGACCTTTCCACTGCACTACTACAGACATGTCTACAACAGAAATTTTCATATCAGAAAGTGTCAACCAAAAGGTGTCCACCAAAACACACTACCCGTCCCTCAAAGTTGCGGAGCCTTTGAGGAAAACCACCATGAAAGACGCGTGCAGGATATTGAGCCTAAAAGCTCTGCCCGGGACAAACTGTGGACAATGCAAAGAAGAATTGCTTTAAACGTTCAAATCTCTAATCAGACCAATACTCTGTCACTTCTAACCAGTTTGGTCCCACCCTGCAAGCAATTCCTCCCGGAAGAAGTTACAATTCGTTCAAAACGCAGTTTTTTTGTTGTGACAGAGTGCACGAAGCTGAGCTCCATAGACCACCTTCACACTGAATGCAAACTATTATCCGTCGTGCAACAGCCCTATAATTCTCTGTCCAGCCAGTTGTTTTTAAAAAAAGTACCTTCAACTCCATCCCCTTCATTTCTAATATAGGCAAATCCAAACTAAATTGAAATCAATTTAAAGAAGAATTCGACAATAAATTCTCTAAGACAAGCGGTGTTACCCCATATACCAACAACACGGTCCGAAGCAACTTCTTTTAAAATAATTTTAAACGTCATAGAAGGGATCCACAAAAACCACTAATAAATGCAAACAATGACTCGCCTACTCGCAAAAATCTCCCGCTGCGCCCATCCGGTATCTCCTCGACTGAGAAACTGCTCTCCCGTTCAATAAGGAGCACGTTAGCCTAGCTCAGATCCGGCTATTTCCCCTTTTTAAAAACCTAACTTCAAAGATCTGTGGCTACGGCCGGGCAAAGTAGAAACGCTCCAAAAAACTCGGGCCAAGCTTGCATGACGCGCATTCTGTGGGCAATTAACAACATCAACAACAACAACTAGTGTTTGTTTTGTATGAAGCGACCCTAGGCTAGTGGGTGAGACTCTTAATCTCTAGGTCTCAGGTTCCAATCCGAGACGTTGCCGAATTTTAACTACAGTTGTTGTTAAAATTAAGCGCAGATTCAGTATTTAATCTCTGAAATGCCTGTTTTCAAAGTCCATTTTGGAAAACATTTTCTTCGGAATTCAATAAAGTTTTCACATAGACCACGAGCAAATGATCAGAATTAACCTCTATAAAAATATCAATATTTGACTACAACGACTTCACAGTTTAAACCGGGTCTGAATATGCAAGACTTCCCTTCAAGTTAAGTTTTTTCGCTTGGCGTGAAAAATTGGACACGTTCGAGTTCTGTAAAAAATCTCGCTGATTTTTTCATTTTTTTTTCACTAAATGCCGGAATGCCCTTTTAGAGCAGAGTTTTTTCTTCTCACATTTCGTCTGTCTAAGAACCACGACTTCTCTACAGGAACGATCAGAAGCGACCGTACGATCGTTCCAAGGGCTATTGGCAAGCAGCTCTTGTGGGATGTAAGGGTAGTAGACTCCTTAGCCCCTCGTAGGTTTAGTGCCGGTCTGTTTTCTCCCTGGTACGGCGGCTACCGATGAAGCGGAAGAGCGATCAAATGACAAGTATAAAAACTGCATAGATAATGGGTATCTTTTTCAACCGCTAGCTTTTGAGATTCAGGACGCGAAAGGCACCAGCACAGATTTTTCGTTGAGCAAGCTTTGTAAGAATCTGCGTATATGCACCAGAGAATCTCCCTAGCAATACAGATTGCGAACGCCGATTGCGTACTCGGAACAATGAATGACAAAACTACTTTTTATTTGTAGCACATTCATAATTGTATGTTCTATTTTCTCGTGTCGAGGTGCGTGTTCTTATTGAAGAAACGTAACACGTATCGAGTTTAATTGTAAGGATATCAACACTTATCATCTTTTTATTATTATCACTTCGATATCTAGAAAGTTCCAACGATTTTGATTGGAATAGGTGACGAAGGGACTCCTGACTGTAACCTCGGTTACTATGATACTTTTGATCTGAATACCCACAATTAAAAAAAGGAATTTTCTCACTGAGATTGTTTCACGTCGCATGAAAAAAAAATTTTAATTCGCTTTTTCGAGTTCGATACGATGCAAAACTTAGTGCAGATTTTCAGACCCGGATTACATTAGTAAGTATCTGAAACCAAAATTTGATAGTTTCATATAGGGTAGCTCTGATCATTTGGTCTTAGTCTATGTAAAATTTTATTTGATATTCGAAGTAAAAGTTTTTCAAAATGAACATTGAAAACAAGCATTTTTGAGTATAAAACCTAACTTTGCGCCTAATTTTGTCCACCAGTGTAATTCGAGGCTTTCTAATTTTTCTTGTTGCCTCTTAAAGAGCTGATATTTGTCGTTTTCTAGCTAGTGTTTGCGAAGATTCGCATCTGTGTTGAAGCTCATTCTTGCGCTTTTTCCAACAATGGTTTTACTGCATAAAGCCTTAGACAATGAATTTGAAAAAAAAGTTTTGAAAGAGAAAATTTTTGTTCGTTAATATTAATTTTGCTAAGATAAGTGTAGTAAAAAACTTCTTGCTCCTATTTATTTTCACTTATTTTTGCCAAAATTATTGAATTTGTGTTTCAGATTTAGACTAAGTAAAATAATGAAGAGACTAAGTTAGTCTCATGGGTTTTATGACTCTATCATGTCTGCCACTGATAAGGAGCAGCATACTGATACAGAAAAGGCGACTGAAAAAACAGAATCTGACAGGTCCAGTAACTCTGTAAACAATGCTTTGGACGTGGAGGCAGTTTTGGTGCCGGACTTGCCAGAACGGGAGGAGACAGTTGGCGCGGGGGAGGCAGATCGAGGACAGAGTGTTGGCACGTCAAGTGACAGTACTCCGCCAACGACCATTGAAGAATCTCAAGCCTCGCAGTCTCTTTACTTTCAGGTTAGACGGCGACCGCTCAATCACATGAAGCAAAAAGCCATAAATTTTCAACGCATTATAGTACTATACAAAATACAACCACGCTAATTAAAATTTTACTTGCTTCAAATTTAAATTTTGCTAGCCATTTTGAGCAGTTAATATTGTGCGCTGAGCAAATTCTGACTAGCTTGTTTGCCAAAAATCAATTCTCGTTGATTAATGGTAGTTAGCTGTCACTGAATTACATACAAGATATCTTGCGATATTAAGCGGTCAATGGAGAGAATTACATTTGAAACCATTAAACCATAAACGATAAATTTTGTTTAAAACAGCTCTTAATTTTTTTGTGTCACTTTTGGTGATCATTGTTGCCTACTTTGTTTATGGCGATTCAATTTATTACAGAATATGTTTCGGACGTACGCTGGAAATTTGGAAATGTTCCGCGAGGCAAATCAAGACGCCACAGCCTCTAATATTCGGTCACATCCTCTAATTCCAGAATTAGACCTGGATCATCAAGCTGCAATTTTCGAAAGGCTACCCGAGCAGTCCTCGAACCCAAGCGGGGGAGGAATTGGGGGTCAGTTTGTTTCTAACCGGCCACCTTGTACTTGTGGGACTGGAGAATTGTCTTCTAATAACAGACACAGTTGCTACAGTCATCCGGACCAGCACGTCAGAGATGATTTGCTGTTGAGAAGTGCGAGTTTCGATACTAGTGCGGCTAGTATTAGCTCCATGGCAACTATGTAAGTTTTATTGGGCGATTAGCAAGCGGTATTTATATTTTTGTCGGGTTGCAACGACTACGCCTGGGAAACTTCTGAAAAAGTTTTGGATTCTTTTTAAGAGTAATAAACGTAGTGAAAACTTATATACGTCTTGCTGATTTTTTTGTTTGTTTTTTTTTTCAGGAAAAAGTCTTAAAATTTGTTCACGCTCAATTTTGAGTTTTGGCGTTTGACTTGTGACTTTATGCATAATCGACAACATTAGTCTTCAAAAAATAAATGAGAAAAAAAATAAAAAACTAATTTAAAAAAATTCACCATAATATTAAATGTTTTATATAGAAAGTCTTTATTGCCGAAGAAACGCTAAGTTTTTAATTGCGAGCGCAATTTCAGTCGGAACTAGAACATTTTTATTCAACTTTCGCCTCTAACAGCATCTAATAAAGTGTGGTGTTTTTAGATTTTCAGCTAATGATTAGACGCTAGCTGGTTTTTGTATCAATTTTTCAAGAAAGGATGAAATACTCATGCTCTTAGTATTTTTTGGCTTCAGATAAATTTTGACTAATGAACCGACCTTTTCAGATGTTTTTATGCCATCAGGGGTAGGAAGTTTGGTAGCATTTGAAGTACTTTAATCCCTGATTCATTTCTTTAATGTTTAAAAAAGTGTATCAGCGGCGAGAAAAAAATTTTTTTTTTCCACTTATTGGACTCAGAATCAGACCGAAAATTCAGATGAATTTTTTTGAACTTAATTTCGGCTGAACTATCAATTTAGCTCTACAACATTTCTAATTTTACCCTAGGTTCTATCGCATCTTATGCTTGTACTTTTTTTCATCTCATTTAATTGCCAGTAACGAAAAAAAATCTTCTTTGAAATAATACCAAAAGACTTGGCGGGCAACTATTCAATTCGTTTTTTTATTGCGTTTTAGAAATAATTGCAAAAACTTCGGTTTGATAGGGATAACAGTTTATGCTACTTTAAAGTTAAACAGGATTTAAAATCTGTCGCAATTTTTTCCGAAACGGATTGATTATTCTTATAAATCAAGTTTGTTTGTCCGAACTTTTCTTACACGTTTTAAGTGGCCGTGTACAGTCTAGCCCGAACCGTCGTTGATGCGGAAGTGAACCGTAGTAGCCTTTTTATGATTTTTTGGAAACATATTTTTGGAATCCGAATGTCGAGTGAAATGTTTTCACTACCATCCTTATCACTTAAGCTTTGCTCTGATGCGCCTGAAATCAAAAAAATCAGCCAAACCTCCTGAAACGCACATATCTTCACTTCCCAAATCTTCTTTCATTATGCTATAGTTCCTTAACGGTCTTTGAAACTGCTCTGAACAATGAAGAGCAGGCAATGCAAATTTTGTCTCTGACGTCTTTCGTTTTTCTGCAAGTACTTGATAAACTACTTAAATTGTTATGCGGCTTATGAGATTATGCTATAAAATCTAACAGAATCAAAATTTGAAAGAATTGAGCGATCTTGGGAATGAATTTCTTGTAAACAGCAATAGGGGTTGAGTTTCGGGTCCCCAAAATGTTCCTCGTCATTTAGTTTATAAACAACAGATGGAGGGGAAAATACTTGCTGTTAATGCAGAGATGAATCCTATTCAAATTCATGAGTTACAGGAGTGGCAAGAGAATGTGACTTGATTGGCTGGTTTTCTAGCGTCATGGCACTGAAAAAAAAATGTCTATTTTGATTCTTTGAACATTCATATAGAAGCAGACGTGTTTTCAAATTGTAGTGTTTTCAAATCTTTTGAGCGAAATTTTTGTAGCTAACTTATCGGTGTTATTTTAGTCCCGATAGTGTGGCATACAGCATCGGATCAGCTGACGAGTCAGTCGACATTATAAGTGAGTTTACAGTTACACTTTTTAGATCTAGTGTTCGATTCCAACAGTCGCCTCAGGGATTCGACCCCTCGCCAACCAAAGGGTCCCCCGTTTGGTATTGTTTTATGATATCAATTTTTGGCCGACCAACCCCAAAAAAGTTTTTTTAGGCGCCAATATGTACTTATTTTTGAAGGGGAGTGCGCGTCGAAAAAACCCAATTTTTTGGTCAACATTTTCCAAAAAGTGCCCAAAACGGCATTATTGACCTGTTTTTTTTTCAAAGAATTGCCTGCGGCGCAAATTTTTTTGGTCATAATAGGGTCTTTATAGGGTTCTGCGAGGGCTCGGAAATCAATTTAGTCGACCTAAAAAAAGAGGGACAAAATTTGCGATTTTTTTTTTTTGAAAATCCGCCCCCCCCCTCTAGAAAGTTCTAGATACGGCCCTGATGCTGATGTTAACTAGTGTTTTGGCTGAGTATATTATCAGCCAAACTGATTTGACTTGAATGCGTGCAGCAAGAAATTATTGATTTAATACAAAGAAGTAGTAACAAAGTCCGTATCTATTTATTCGAATTAGTGCTAATTTTTTATTGTTTTCGATCATATTTTCTCATACTGTAAATTAGAAATTTTATTCGTAGCGTATTTAGCGATGTTCTGACGTTTGCTTTCTTCAAGGTTCCGATGACCACAGAAGTCTGTACTCTCCGACAGGAATGAGTTTCGACGGAGCCTCCGACTATTACTCCAGTGACCCAGAGTGCTCGGCCGGTGTCCTTGGGCGCCGAGGAGAACCCCCGACCGCCACTTTGTTTTCAACGACAGTCGAGTCTGACTTTGACAATTCTGCAATGCAGAGGTCTATACCTGGGCCTTCGGCAGCTAATGTAAGTTAAGTCAGGAATTTGCTTCAACATACTTTCGTAATTTTAACACAATCGGAGATTGCGGAGAATTATGTAATATTACAGTCCATTTTTTTCAATGTAGCTCGCAAATTTCTTTGGATGAATTTGTGCAAAATAGTTTCTTCCTTATTATGTTAGCAGCATGAATTAAATCCGTGTACTTGGAGCGGATTTAATGCTACCCGGTTTTTGAAAGATTTTGGTGTGGTCGGTTTTTTTTCTGGCCTAGAGTTGGCAGCCCTGCCTGCAACAGGGTTAAGTAGTATAGTGTGTTCGACTGGGAAGCAGCTGGTGGTGAGTTTGTTCCCCAGGGTCCGAAATTTACTATGCTTTCATTTTTGAATTTTTTTTGCTGTTTTGCGGAGTGCAGCTTCGCGTTGTTCAAGTCTGTTATTTCAATATCCAATTTGATGGGTCAATTTCCTGGAACAAAAGTTAATGCTCTGTTTCTTTCGATTTTTAAAAAAATCGATGAGCATAGTTCAGACTCTTAAATATGTCGTGGTGATTTTTTTCTCGGGAAAAGTTTTAAAATTTGTTCACGTTCACATTTACTTTTTCGCCATTTGACTTTGTTTTTTAAGATGAAAACTCTACTATTGAACAGCAAAAGTGTAAACGTCACGAAAAACGTGATCGACTTCTAATTTTGAAAGTGGAATTTGATTTTCAGATTTCCCAGCGAAAAAAAGTTTATTTATTGATCCAGCTGACTAAATATGGTTAATTTTAAAAGTGTCAATCATAAATTGTTTAGAATTTCAAAGAGCTAAGGCCATCTATTATTTAGTTTTAAATTGAAAATTGAAGTTTTTTAAAAAACAAACCAGTTTTTTTTTCTGTTTCCTTGCGTTCGGTGACTCATTTGCAACTGTCTGTTGGCTATGTTTCACATTTTTTTTTTGAGTAATAAGCGATTAGTCGGTAAAAATTGCAGCAGTTTTAGTTAAAGTGGACGTCATATTTTCGACCAAGATTTTGGGAATTTTTCTCAAGTCCGCGGAAAGAAAATTGCCAAGAACATCTATACAGAAAGCTAAGCTATGATACCTCATAACGAGAACAGATGAAACTGATTTTTCCTTTTTAAGAAATTAAGTAACATAAAAGTTAGACTCGACTAAACTATTCTGCGCATTGTTTTTGGATCGTTTTTATTAGTTGGAGGGATCCTCTTCAACTGAAGATTAATGACGTCGTTACATAATAAATCTGGCTTTTATTTAACTAAACAACAAAACATGCAGCGATCTCCGCTGCTTTGAAACCAGTTAACTGTGAAGTTTCTTTTTCTTTTGAGTCAAATTTACCATTTATGGTAACTTTGTTTAGATATGTTTCACCTTGCGAAGACAAAATGAATCAAAGAAAATGATTTAGATAGTAATTTGAAATCCCGTGTAGATTTGTAATCAAGCGATTAAGAAACAAGTTTGGCGTCAAATTTCCAAACTAAGAAACTAAGTCAATTTTGAACCAGATTTTAAAAGCTTTGTCCTGAAACGATTTCGGAATTTTTGCATTGGTTAGTTTGTTTCTGAAGTTTAACCAATCCAATAAATTGCCAGAAGTAAATATTTATTGTTTATTTGTTTATATAAACCTAATGCAAAAGGTGTATATTTATAATCGGATCGATTTTGTTGTTGTCTGTTCTAAACTATGGTCAAACTTATATGCTTGATTACTGAATAATAAATTGTAAATGTTCATGAGAATGTTTTTGTGAAAGTTATGAGAAATTGTTGAATTTTACCAATTTTATTTACAACCTTCAAAAATATACCGTTAATTTCTTCCATTTTTAGAGAAGAATTCGAGATATTATTTTTGTTTCACGCTGAAATTCTCTCGAATTTATCGAACTAGCTCAGCGTTCCACCAAATTTGGTTATTTTTTGAAATAATAATCAAACTGAGAATTTTCGCAGCATATCTGTTTTTATCGGGTGGTTATACTCTTTTATTTTCTTAGCTTTTCTTTTGATTTCATCTTAAATTTCATTTTTCGGGCAGAGCCCACCGAAAGTTCGTTTTAAGAACTTTGATATAATGTCGGTTTTATGAAATTTGTAAACTGTGTTTGAATGAAGATTTGTGATGACCCGGCCGAAGAATTATTTGTGGTAATTTCATGATTTCACAATCTTAATGTAAGTCAAGTTTCAAAGTCCATGTAGAATTTAAAATACTAGACAAGTTAGCAATCCGTTCATTCATCGTCTTTATCATCAGTTTTAAATCGGATTTGGTTTTTATTTCGATTTTGCATTTTGATACACACCTCCAAACTTTTCATAGACGCAGACAACTTCATAAGGTCAAAAAGTTGACACTTATTTGAATGCTTTTTGCAGTAAATTGAGAAATTTTCAAGTGTTCTGATATTAATTCTGTAATTTGTATTATGGTTGCTTTATATTAGAAGTTTGCAGAGGCTTATTTTCTCGCAGGCCGAAACTAATCTCATTAATTTGAAGTGACTGCTCGTCGATACCCGAGTTTTATTGTAAGTATTTATTCATTAATTTTCGACCACATTTACTGACTTAATAATTTATTTAAGCCTTTAAATGTTGTGAAGTTTGGTGCGATGCTTTGTTTTCTTGATTGATCAATGCGACTGTTATTTTAACAGACGAAAGTTACATAACCAAAAATGGATGACTTGGAGCGTAAAAATCGTCTGTGCAATTTACAAACGATGCTTTTTGGGTGTTCTACATTTTTTTTTGAAATCTACCAGATTCTTATTTTAGCGAGCCGGGTGGGATGGAAAAGAGCCTTTTTTTATCTGATCAGGTTTAGTTTCGGCGCTTTTTTCTGAGAAGTAGCCTCAAAACTGGCTAGAGGAACGAATCGGTATCGAAGCTTTGAAATCTGGGAATCCAGCTTTTTGTTTGAAAATATGCCGATAGAAGTTTTTTTTTAATAAGCGAGGCAATTTATCTGAAGAGTAATAGGCATTCTTAATGCTGTTTTTGCAAATTTTATTGGGTTTATCAAAGAACGCTAACTCTGCCTAAACTTAAACAATTTGGTATTAATTCAAGGCAAATATTTGAACCAGTTTTTTTAGCATCCGGCTGTCGAAGAACTTGAGCTAAGTATCAAGAATTGATGTACCTGATTGTCGAGTTTTGGCGAGAGCTGGTTTTAGAATAGTATCACTACCATTGCAGGATTTCGAATACAACCTCTAACGATCTCAACACAAACGCCTGAATTTTATGCGTTTTCAAACCGTTTTAATTGTTAATGCTTAATCGCTGAATTAGTTTGTCTGTTTTTTTTTCAAGGATAGACTTTTGCTGTCTCTCAGTTCATTTCTAAAAGGAAAGCAAACCACGCTCTCCATTCACGATAGTGAGATTTTGCGGTTTTTTAGCCGGATAAAAAAAACATACTTGTCAATCCAGATTTCTCAATTTCATTAGATTCTTTCAAGTGTTCGCTCAAAGAGGTCCGAGTTTGTGCTAGAAAAAAGCATCAATCTCTAATGATGTTTTTCGCCAATTGAATGTTGGAACTGTCTCAAAGTAATGTTGGAAGTGTCTTTAAGGTGATATTTGCTTTGTACGGATCGAAAAACCTAATTTGTAAATTAATATTTCTGAGTACTATTTCGGATTTGTTTTTTTTTTCAAGAATATTGTCAAAAAAAATTAACCGGAAAATGTGAAAATTCAGCCAAATTGTTTTGCTATATTATTAGGTGAAAGTAAAAACGGTTTTTGCAGCCTCAATTTTTATGCCATATCTAATTACCTATTATTTATTGCCTTTCAGCTTTTTTAAAAATAAAGTTTATTTAACCATACACCAAGTGGTGTTGATCAAATGACTCATTAGATTTTTTCACTCTTATTCTTTTTATTTGTGCTTGGTGTGATTAGCAAATATGGTTCACAGTTTAATTCGTTCGCAAGTATACCTCAAGAGTTTGCTGTTGAATTACTGATAAATTGTTACAAACTGCTATTTACTTATTGCAGATTTTGCCTTTTGTTGCTAATGACCTTGATTTCACAAGAATTTCCAAAATATCCACATTCATTTTTTGCTAATGAGTTGCTAATAATGGTGATTATTGCTGCCGTTTTTAATTTGTTTTTTGTTATTGTATAAACAGAGCTCGCGTTAATCTGAAAAAAAAATTAAAGAGGAAATCAGACATTAAAAAAATCTGACAAAAAAAAGATAAAGGGAAAAAATCTGAAAAAAAATTACAAAGGAATTCAGACAATAAAAAATCTGCATGAGAAACAAATGTTTTGATATTTTGCTGATTTATTGCAGCAATAATCAAGTTTTTAATAATTATTTCACTTGTGAAGCAATTTTTTTCTCAATTTATTGTTCAAAAACATTATTATGAGAGCGAGAATTTAATTTCCTGATATTCGTTTACCTCATTTACGACGATCATTTTGTTTGAACTAGTAATTGCTTAAAGTCATTATTCTAAATTTCAATAATCATTTTTCGCCAGTTTTTATTTTTTACCGTTAGGAGAAAAAGTAACTGATGGTGAATGCCAAATGAAATCAAAGTAGCCGTAACTATTGATAAATGAAGTGGTTAATTCGATCTGAGAAGAAAAGAATTGAGAATTTATTTTGCAATGTCTTTGTACCAATAAGAATAAGAGAGCGGAAGGAAAGAAACGCTATAGCGATCTATCTTTTTTTCTCTGTTAATGAGTTTGCGAGATAACATTTGTTCGTTTCCTTCTGCATTATTTTTGTGTATTTACACCATTTACGCAATTTGTCCTATTTCAGCGAGCGGTGGGAAATTCGATCTCGAACGTCAATTTATTACCATCGTCGTTGACCTTGCAATTTCAACCACCGACTTATTACCAAGAAGAAGAAAAGACGCACCAGTTATCAAATTTTCGTTCAGAATTGACCCAAAATGATGAACAGCAAAACGTGTTATTTTCTTCAAAAGTGTTAGGGGCTGCACAGTTTTCGACATCACTGGCGAAGGAAAATGACCGTAATGAAAATGAGTCATGGCGACGCTTGGAACCACACACTGAGAAACTACTCCAATCTACGACGCCTATAAGACCACAACCGTTTCAACGAACGTCAAGTCCGCTTAGAAATTCGCCAAGAATTGGAACAAAAGCTGCGAATAAGTTCAAAACTAACATTGAGTCTGCTAATGACGTATCTGTACATGCAAGTCCGGCACGGCAGATTTCAACCGCCCAAAAACCCCAAACTCCGCAATTCACTGCCGCTCATTCGCCCTTCGCAAATTACCCTATCTCAACCAAACCCCACCCGCCGAACCCCCACTTAGCCGGAGCTCTTCCAACAACACATGACTTGTTTACAACAACAACAGGATCTACTGAAGACAACATGTTGATTTCAAATTCAAGAAGAACTTCAGAAGTATTTATGGATAGTTGTAATATAACGGAATTTGGGCCGCCTGGAAAAACGATAACTGACGCCCGAGCTGTGATGGATATTTTTGACCCGGGTAATAGACGAAGAGTAGCTAATTGTCCCCCTGTATTTAATTACTCAAGAGACTCAACGGGTAATGAGTCGTTGAGTTTAAATCAAGAACAGAGAAATTTGAGCTTGTACGCGAGACTAATGCAATCCTATACAGTGTGGTATTTGCCTAATTTAACGAGGCAAGATGCGACGGATTATCTGCAGAATAGACAACCGGGTAATTTTATTGTTCGACATTCAAGCCAGCCCGGCACTATGGCTTTGTCGCTGAGGTCCACAGCAGAATCAGAAGAGAATTTAGTGGAGCATTTTCAGATTATCAACACTGCTGAAGGTTTGTTTGTTGTTGTTTTTGTTCAATTTTCATTACGAGGCCAAAAAATTATTTTCGCCAGTTTTTTTGGTTAAATGGACGTAACAAAGTGACGATTAGGTTGTCTGCGAAAATTTTTGAGGCGGAGGGTGAAACTACACCTTGAAGAAATCAAAAAAATGGTGCGCCATTTGCATCGCTGAAATAAAAAAAAGTTCAAATCATTTCAAATGTGTTTTGTGAATAGTTAAGATTTTAATCTGCCAAAGGTTGATTTAAAATTTTTGGAATTGTTTATATGAAAAAGTGCATTTGAGGTGAAAGTTAAGCATACGCCCGGGTTAGAACTCACCCGGGCGTGTTCTATTGTCAATAGCTTGAGCTCCATGCGCCTTAATCACTCTATGGTTTGCAGGTCTCCAAATCAACGAAGCACAAAACTCCTTCGTGGACATTGTATCTCTGCTGCAGCACTACTACGAGAATGACAATGGTCTCCCATGTCAACTGCGCCTGCCCCGAAGCATAGAAAAGGTAACTTAGTTTTCTTAGTTAATCTTCACAAAGATTTGCTTATGTTTGGGATAAGCAGACGTTATCCAATCGGAATAACATACTTTTTTCCTAACAACTTGTCTAACAGAATATTTGTGTAATTTCGTCCTTTTCAGTTTTGTCGGATACTTTAGCAGCAAACAGAGACATTTTTTCATCATGATTGCATTCCAAATGCCGTTCTTTCAAAAATTGCTTGTTCGTCACAAAAAGTATTTAGATGCTTTTTTCTTAAAAAAGACCGGCTTTGTCTGTTTCCAACTTATTTTCTAAGTTAGATTAAGACGATTTGATTTATCCACGATGGGAAAGACCCAACATACGAGCTCTGTTCAGCTCTGTACTGAGAACCGAGATCCCTTGTTTAGCCCCTGCAGCGCCCCTGAACGAAAAATTACTTAAAAAATCTTGCAGGGGGGGTCGAGGAAAAAGAGCCAAGAAAATGATTCCCAAAAATGATTTTGCAGGCAACTGGTTATGAACTGAATCAGTACTGGATAATGGGGGAGAAATTCTGGATCAGAAGTATGAATGGGGAACTAACAGACAGCGGGGGGAGTAATTCGGACGAGTTCACATCTGACCCGGCTGAGCGAGCAACGTTAGAGAGAACTATCAGGTGAACACTACATTACCATTTGTTGTACGTTAAATACAATTAAAGAAACTCTTATCATTAAATCAATGCTCCAAAAAAATTCATCGTTTTTTGGGGTTTTCTCAACACTGCTTTCTCAACTTTCCCAACTGCATGGAGATTTTTTTGGCGGGTAGATAAAATATCAACGAAAAAAAAATTCTGTTAAAACACGAAACAAAATACATGAAAATAAATCGAAAACAGCTTGCAAGTGAATAGTTCTGGTATTGGATCACATTTTACGTGAGTTTGGTCGATAAGACATACTGATTGAAAAGACAAAATTGGATCTTTTTCTTAACAGCAAATAATTTCCACCTCCAAAAGTAAAGAAATTCCAATAGTACAGAAATAATTTAATGCTTAAGCATCATCTGCAATTTTGCTACTTGTTAAGAACTTTGCCCCGCTCTTTTTGCAATGCGTGAGCGAGGAGGGGGTATTATGGTAGTTAACATAACAAATTCAATTCCCCAATGGGCGACAGCATGCGTTTTGTAACTTGACCTCTAAGTGACCTTTATTTCTTCTTTTCCGTGACCTGAAAGCTCATCACGATCGACTTTTTGCTGTGCTTCATAAATGATCAAAGCAGCGGCTTAATTATTCCGATCTCTTGACTCTTTTCTAATTAAGGTTCGTTTTACCTCAAAAAACACTGAAGCGCTGATGAAATGATGTACTTAAGTGACTGGTAAAAGGCTCTAACACTTAAGTAATTGATTTAAAATAGCCTCTTTAAGTCTTTCAGGCGACGCTGTTAACCTTTACGTTCAAACGGTTTTAGTGCCTTTGATTAGCGTAATAAGTACCTCCGCTTTCCAAATTACTCGCTCTTTTTATGTGCCCATTAAAGTGCTTAAAGCTCATTTGAAAGCACCTTTTGAACGATTTATCCTGAAAGCAACATACTGATGACACCATTATGTTCGAAGACTTATGCGTTAAATATTTAAGTAGCAACTAAGTGATTCTTTCATCGGAAAGTAAATCTGACCCCAATTTTAATCGGTCATTGGCCTTGTTTCACAATGCTTTTCGAACGTTCGATTAAATAGCGAAGTTTATTCTTTTAGGTCAAAGCATGAATATTCAAATTGACAAAAAACGAAAGAAATTTCATGTTTTCCGGCAGCATAAGAAAAAATTTCATGCTTTGAAGTTTAATTTATAAAAGTTTATTCCTCTAAATTGGCGAAACTTGAATTGAAATTGTGATGAAATGGAGACAAAATTAAGTTTCGAGAAATTAAAAAATTCGATGCAAATGTTTAGAACGACTTCCTACAACGATGACACTGAAAGTACAGCTCGGGAAAGCTCGCCCGCTCAATTAACACCGCCCCCCGTACCCGCAAAATCCCAAGAAATCAAGAAGTTAATCGAAAGCGAGTGCAGCAGAGATCCGTCGGCTTTTAACATCCAGAAGCGAGACAAAGACTTTTTGGCTAGAAGTTCAAACTTGCAACATCAAATATCGGTTTCAGTTAGTAACGATGTTTCGATTTCATCCCGACGACCGCCAGATCTTTTTTCGACTGGAGGCGCGTTCGGCACAACGACCGAGTTTAATGTGAATTCGCCAACCGGAAGCGTTTTCCAAAACTCAAAGACAACTCCTAGTGATTCGGGATATGATACATCTTCGAAAAATGTGTTCGAAATGAACCTTCAATCTTCGAATCTTCAACATCAGCAGAGTCAACACAGGAACCAACAGTTGTTAATACAGCAAAGTGTACAGTCTACTTCGCCGCACCACCCGCTGTCCAGTGTCCGCTCGGATCCCATGTTACAACCGGGAGACCAGTTCTCGGCTTCCTGTCCAGCCTCGGCGTTTTCGAGGTAAATTTCCAAGATTATCTTTAAGTCGGCTCATAGAACACTAATTGCTCGTAATTTTTTGTGGGCAAATCGGTCGTTTTCAGTTTTTTTAGATTGATTTTTTAATTAATGGAACTTGAAAATTGAAAAATGATCTAAAATAAGTTCTTGATGAGTCTATGGAGTTAGGGTAATTAAGAGTAATGCATGTAGTGAGTAATCTTATATAGGTCTTGGTGATTTTTTGTTGTTGTTTTTCAGGAAAAAGTCTTAAAATTTGTTTACGCTTAATTTTGATTTTTTTGTGGTTTGAGATTTTCTTTTTAAGTGTAGTTCATTTCCATTGTTAAAGGGGAGGCAAACTCCACTTTCGAGCAGCAAAAGAGATTTAAGGTCATCTTTTTTTCTTCGAAACTCGAAGGTTGAAGTTAACAAAAAAAATATCTGTATCTTTGCGTCAATTACTCTTTTGCTACTGTCAGTTGGCTATGTTTTCAGAATTTGAAGCTGAATGGGTTAAATTAATCAGAACTGGAACATATGTGTAACATGTTTCTAATTTTGGGCCGTAAAGAAGAAGATACCTTCAAATTGTATCAAGCTGCAAACGTCTTTAAATGTTTTTTGTTCATTTCGGCAATCTTGGGACTAATACCAAGACATAAAATTTGAAAATCAATTCACGATGTCGAAAACTTCACACTGTTTTTATTGGTGTAGTGTTTTATGGTATTGTATTGGTATATTTTCTTTCTGTGAAAGAAAGAAGAATTCCTGGAAGATAAAAGTGTGGTCAAATCTCAAACCCATAAGGTATGCTTCGATAAGGATTATCTGTTGAAGTTTTATTACGAGATTGCGGTTTAGCCATACAATCAATTGCTGTATTTAAGGTCGGATAGCAACGCGACAGAGCATACCTCTGGGTGTGGAGGAAGTGGAGCCCAGTTGACGTCGAGTCAGATCAGTCCCAACCCCACGAATCCTTTCACATTCCCAGCGACAGATAACAGTGGCTCAGGTAAGCACCACGTGATTCCTTGAGTTTTTTTCGGTAGCTAAATTGACCATTTGTTCACGAGGAAAGGACGAATATGCGATCTATTCAGCACTTCACTGTCTTAGATGCAATTTTTTAATACAAAAGATGGGTTTTTTAAGAGTCGATGAATGTAGTCGCGATGATTTTTTTTTCAGGAGAAGTCTTCAAAACTGTTTAGGCTCAAATTGCTGCGTTGGTTGACTCTTTTCCTACTGTCTGTTCGGCTATGATCTTTTTTTTCGGCTACGAATTTTTTTCGAATTATTTAAAGATGTTGAGCCTGACATTTTCAATCGTCGTATATATATATTTTTAAAAAAATTAAGATGCAATGTCATATAAAGGGTGTAAAGATGTAAGTTGTTTGAGATATTAAATTTTTGAGTGATAATGTAAAATTTTAGAGTGTAAATGTAGTGTTTGCTTGTCATTTAAAAGATGATTGAACACGTCTTGGAACACTCAATCCGTCCTTTAAGTGATTGAATTCTTTCTAGATACGGTACAAGTATGATTGTTGGGTCCCTAAAAAAACAAGTATACTAGATGGTAAACTTTCAAAAGCAATTTCTCAACTTGTTTTACGAATCCAACTATCATACTTGTACCTTAGATGCCATGAGGGGATTCTGTCTGATAATTATCAGTTCGTTTTCAAGAAGGGAACAGACTCGGTTATTTTATTTATACAACTCAAAGCAATGAAAAAAATCCATATTGGAAGGAAACCTAAATAGGCAGTTAGCTTCCTATCAAGTGGTGCTTCAGGTTTCAGATGTATTCTGCTTCAGGTGTTCATTCTGACGGCTGTGCATCTTCTTCCTCTAGCAAACCCCTTCACACCCACTACCCATCAAACCGGCTGAACAACCTAAACAGCATGAACAACAGCAGCATCAATGGCTCACTCAACGTCACAGGATGTTCAAACATTTTGTATCAACAATACCCGAGTCCAATTAATGCCCAAACGTCGCCCTTTATGGAAAACAACTTCTTGTTGTCTAAAACATGCAATAGTCACCAACACGCTTTCTCGGACGATACATCCCTATCATCAGGCAGAGAAGAGTTACATGTATTACAACAGTCGTTTGTCAATTTCTCGTCTAATAACCCCTTTTACAATTATGCTTTCCAGCATCAGTTGTCGGATAATAGCGCGAAAGACATAATAGCCGGTAACAACCCTACGATAGCCCAGTCTAATTGGTCGACGAATGGAAATTTGGTGCCCGCTAATCAGAAATGCAACTCGGCCGAAAACTTCCAGAAGTCAGTAACGGCGCCTGTTTCGGCTAGTTCATGCGAAAGTGTACACAGTGCGAACCAGTCAGAACGAAGCTCAACATCCTCGATTTTTGCATCGAAAAAAGTTTTGTTGGGCTTATACGAGAAAGGAAGAAATCGGCTTTATGAGCCGCCGGCTAGTGGAATGAGTCCGAATACGTTTGGAAATTGGATTTCGCCTACGAATGACTCGTTTGAGTACAACACGAATTTTGTATCCCAAATTCAAAATCGATCTTCAACCTTACCGATGAGGCAACGAATGGTTAAAAAATCACCTGATAACGATTCGCAAGAAGAGCATGAAGATTCGAAGTTTTGGGTAGATCACGGAATCGACCAAAATCCGCCATGTAATAAGCGAAATGCCCAAGCATCCTGGAAAGTTCCAAAAGTTCCCAGATTTTGGGTTAATTTAAGACGAAAGGGTAAAAATTCGTCGAACAAAATCAGAAGTTGTATTATAGAGTTGGCACAAGATCAGAACACGAATTTCTACAGGCTTGTACAGAATATTCTGGATAAAGTTTTACGGGAGCAAGACGCAACTAATATTCTATCACAAGTAGGTTGAATTCAACTTCAAAAAGTTAATTTTTCTCACAAATTGATAAGGGTTCTTTTTTCAATTTGTTTAGTCAACTAACCCGGAGACGTAACCCGGAGGTTAATTATTATAATTGATTTTGTGTGTTTCAGGTTCGCCAAGAAATGAATTCGCTGAAGATCTACCTGACATCGCCGAACGAGAAAATACTGTCTGATTTGATTGATCGGGAACGTTTCAAGGTAAATCGAATTTTAAATTTGATAAAGTAGTTTCTCAATTTATATTTTTCGTTTGATAAAGTTGTTTCTTAATTTATGTTTTTCAGAGTTTAAGATCCTTGCCAAAAAATTTTGAAAACAAGAAACTCTGGAAATCTTAATTTTTCTAAGAAAAAGGCCATGTGTTGTAATTTATTTTACTGTTTAACAAAGCTTACCTTGCGTCTTCATCTCTCATTATGATTTATCAAGTGACTTTGATTGATTCGATATAAAAGGGATAAGTTTAAGAAAATTTAATGCCTTAAAACCCGAAATCCTGGCAAACTGGACCATTTTTTGGTTTCGGCAGAACTCGAAAATGAAATAGCTGACCTAAAAAGAGGGCAAACCAAATGTTTCGTATCCACCTGTCAAAGAAGTCCTGCGTACTCTCTGATCAAAGTTTTTGCTTTTGCAGATGCGAGAAAACGACTTTCTGAACATGGACTCAATCACAGAAGATGCTCTGCACAAGATCATTCTGAAACCACTCATCCAACACCTGATGACAGTTCTTATCAACCACCACAAGAGGTATGTTTGGGACTCAGTTTGAAATCTGTTTTATTGGCTATCTTAGCTTTTTTTTTTAGAAATTCGAGTGTGACACAAACAAAGTAACTTTGTATCGTATTATACAATTGAGTTGATCAGAGGCTATTTTTTCTTGAAGCGATTCGACTTCAGCTGCGCTTGTAGTTGGTTGTGGCGTCCTCTTTTCATTGTCAACTTTGCGTCTTTTATTGGGGGGTCCGTTAGTGGAACTTTTCCTCCTCTTAGTAGTCCTCTTCGGTGTCGTATCCCCCCTTAATAGACCAAGTGAACGATCTCCCCCTAAATTGAATAGCAAATCCTGCATGTACTATGCTCAAGTCTAATTGGCTGAAAAATATTACTTTTAACTAATTGAAAAATCCTCCCCTTAAATTGATTTGCTCACTTGATACAAAATCTGCTGCATATTTCAAGTTACAGACAGCAGGCTGATTGTTTGATGCCATGTCCTTCAAAGACTCCACGAAGAAACTCTCTCTCGTCACTAATTCATTCACACTTCCCCCTATTATGCTCTCGTTCAAGTATTCTGGCTTTTCGTCGCTCATTAACTGCTGCGTCAAAGTTTTTAAGTCCTGCAAATCGGCTTTGAAACCTGATTTTTTTATACTCGGGGCAATATGAACTTCGTTATTATTATTATTAGAAACATCACTGGCATTAAATCGCATTAATTCTTCGGTCATTGCTTCAGAATCTGTAGTCCTTCTAGAACTATCAGTTTGAGCTGCAACATCTTGACCCCATTTTAGGTCAACTGTTGACGTCTCCTGATTGCATCTATTTTCTTCCGTTTCAGTTTGACCTTGCATGTTCCTCGTCTTAACAGACGCTTGGTCGGACAAACTTCTTCTGATATCTAATCTCAAAGCTAGGAGTAACTTTCTCTTTCAACTGCATTTCCGCAATATGTTCTTTAATCGGTATTAATCGGCGTTTCTTGTTCATGTGTTCATATTTTTTTCAGCGATTTCAAATTTTTACCCTTGCGGGAACCAAGTCGATTGCCTTAAGAGTCCTGAAAATTTTTTCACGTGATTTTTTTTTTCACAGAAATTGCATGTAAGCCTTCACGTGTTTCAACTTAAATTTATAATATCTTCAAGTTCAATGACTGATTCTGCCCTATGGGAGCAGAGGTTACACCCATGCTTGAGACGACGAAGTCCAGTAGTACCTCAAGTCCCAGACTGTAGATTTTTCAGGAAATTTCCCAAACTGCTTTCTCGAACCATCGTGCTGCCTGATTTTTTGTTCTAGCATTCCTGATGCTATTATTCGTAATAGCGCAGGTAATTGAGGTCCAAATTTTTTCGCAGAATATTTTAAGCATTTTTTGGATTAAATTTTTAATTAAATTTCACCTGCGCGTAATCAGAGAGATGCAAAAATGGCGTGGAGTTTTTTTTTCGAAATCACCCATTTAGTTTTTTTTTGTCAGTTTTCCGGTTCAAAATTAATCGGAATTGTGTCCCAGATGAGTTTTTTCTCTAAGCGCTAACCCGTCTAAAAGTCTATACGTGACCTATAACCGCGTTCCCCCTGAAAGCTAATTAGGATGTAATCAGGGGCGGATTTAGGGGGGGGGGGGACGCCCCCCCCCCCTCAGGGATTCGACCCCCTGCCGACCCAGAGGGTCCCCCCTTTGATACTTTTTCAGAAATCCATTTTTGGCCGACCGACCCTGAAATTTTTCTAAAGGCGCCTTTGGCGCCAATATATACTAACTTTGAGGGGGAGCGCGCGCCAAAAAAAACGCGATTTTTTTGTCAAAATTTTTCAAAAAGTGCCCAAAAACGGCTTTTCTGACTGTTTTTTCAAAAATTTGCCTGCCGCGCAGAAAATTTTGCCAAAATAGGGGCAAAACAGTGCTTTGGGAGAGCTCGAAAAATCAATTTGGTCGACCCAAAAAAAAGGTCGTCAAAATTTTCGAATTTTTTTTGAAAATCCGCCCCCCCCCTCGAGAAAATCCTAGATCCGCCCCTGGATGTAATAGTTTTGTTTTCATTAAATTAACCATTTCGATTGGATCTTTTTCATCGGTGACATATTTGATCGTTTTCTTGATTTTTTTGCTGATTTAAAAGTTCCATGTCGTTTATGATTCTCTTCATTAAAAATAAGTTTTTATAAGATTAAGTTTGTAGTATTATTAGAATGCTTCGTCGCTTTTCCTATCTACAATAAAGCCACCATCTTCCTTAAATGGTAATGTTGTTCACACATTTAACGATTCAGAATGCCTTTAAGAGGGTGCTCCTGGTAATGAAAAATATATGCCATTTGACATAAATTCGCAGCAAAATTGACGTTTTTTCAAGTAAAAAACCACTCCTCTTTTTGAACTATTGCACCAATTTGAGTGATATAATAATAAAATATTGATAAATTCCCTTTTTTCTTTGGAAATTTCATTTAGAATGGGCAATTGTTGAATTATGCGTCTTTAGTAACATTCTTTGCTAATTGTACAAGAAAAGCTCAAGGGAATATTTTGTTGCCATGAATAGTCGGAATATTTAATCAATGACGCCCCAACGATCGAAAAGAAAACAAAATGGCAACCTTTTTATTGCTTTTTTGTAGTAAATAATGTCAATAAATTCTGTTGCTTTTGAAAAATGTAGTAAAACAGTCATTTTATTGTCCTATTTTAGAAATGTATAACCTACAGCCGAAGGGTCTTTGTTCTGTTCTTGAATAGGAAAATTATTGGGAAAAGAGGTACTGAAAATAGTTTTGAACTATTGCGCACATGGTAGGAAAAATAAAATTTAGGAAATATAACATGAGTGATGAATCGGAAATTTTGCTGTTTATTTCGGTTTTGGACGAATTCAAAACTTGAATTGATTCAAAAAATGAAAACAGATTTCGCAATTTGGTCTTTATTTTGACTAAAAAGCAATAAATGCAGTTGCGGAATAATCCTCGAAACACATTGTGCTTCCTGTAACAATTGTGATATGATTTATATCATTATGAATGGGTCGTTACTAAGAGGAAATATTTCATTTTCAGTATTTTGTCTCAATTTGAACTATAAAAGTAATATTGACATCCATTTTCACAGTTTGAATCCGCAGGAATTTTCACTCTTTTGACCGCTTTTGTCTGCCTTCTATGGCTTGTCTGGCTGCGTAGCTGTTAGATTCGCTGTTGGTATGAGAGGCTACCACGAATACCACATATTCATACCATGGCGACTTAGAGAGAGCTATGTCGCGAAAAAGACAAGGCCACGTGGCCGAAAGATCGAACGGCCTTAAATTATGTTAACCACTCTAAATACCTACAAAGGGAATCTCGCCCTCGTTAAGTTACATCAACAAGCCGCGAAGGGAGGGGTTCATGGGTTCCTCCCTCGTGCCACAAAGATTGAACGTCCATACATTATATAGGCCAATCAAAAACCATTATTAGAAAACTCAAGATACAAATCAGTGAGTTTAAAAGATTGGTTGAATATTTTCGACCCTTTAGTCTTTCGATGCTAAGAATAGTCCTTCAGAGGAAATATTTCTTCTCCTTTTCCGTTGTGTGATTAAAACAATGTGTGAGATACAGAAATCTACATAGAGATGGAATTTGTATTAAGACTAAGCGGCCATTGTTCGATTTGAAAGGTAACAGAGAAAGGACGAAAACAAAATGGTATGCACGTATTGTAACAGAACAGACGAACAGGGAGCGGAATAATGGAAAGGAACCGAGGGGAATGAAGGAAACAGTATGGGGGTATAAGGAATTGTTTTACCGAGAATCCACCGTGTGTGTGATAGGAAATAGTGGCTATAGAGGAATGAATGAAGTGAGATTATAAAGTGCGGTAATCATGCTCTTTTGTTGCATATAAATAAGATCGATTTTTTTATACCAAAGGTGATTCATACCAACGGAAATTTGTAGATATGAAGGATGATAGCTGATGAGATAGAAACATGTTTAGGAAATTTGAAATGTAGATTCTGGTTATTCTGATTATTTTTATTCCCTCGTTTTTAAAGTTTCTGGTGTTTCTTTTATCACTGCTATTTTCACAGCTTGGGTATATTTCTCTAGTTATTGGTACTCTTGAAGTTTCAATAGCAAATAGCTAAATTTTTCAAGATTAGGGAACTTAGTGAGTGCTCTTGTATAGGTCATGGTGATTTTTTTTTTTCAGAAAAGTCTTAAAATTTATTCATGTTTGATTTTGATTTTTCGCGGTTTGACTTTTGATTTTCAACCCTTGCGATAAGCAAGGGTATTGCAATCGGGTTCTTAACTTTTTTCCCGTAAATAGCTAGCTCACAGAATGATCAAAATTAGAAATGGTAAATTTAGTTTCAGTTCATAATAAATTCAAATTTCTTTGCGTCTACGGCACACTTGGTCTGGAGATAACGAATATGCCTAGGACGGCAAAGATCCTAGGTCCTTTTTGTCTGCATATGTTTTGTCGGCCAAGTTACTACATCGTAGAGTTGTTTTTTTTTGCTATAGGCAATTTACCTTGTAGTTGCTCTAAGTGTTTTGATTTACTTCGCTGTTTGTAAGTTCTTGACTTCGTATTTTTTCTCTTTTTTTGCTTAAAAGTTCTTTCTGCCCAAAGGATTTGGGTTTATATTTTTTTGGCCTAGTGAACTAATATTGAGTCGTTTCAAGTAAAACGTATTTTTAATGCTCGCCTCTGGATCGCACAAGTTGCTAAAATCTTAATAGAAATTATAGTTCATGTTTTTCATTAGCTGTAATCAGTTTTCCTTGAATTCCGTGATTTTAAATTAACCAATATGGTCATATCCCGGAGAAATATATTTAAATTAACCAATATGGTCATATCCTGGAGAAATATATGCAAGCCGTCAGATCAGAAATAAGTTTTTTCTCTTTTTTTTTTCATATTTTTGTCATTGTTTAGCAACTTTTTCTTTTTAAAATGTTAAATTGAACTTGTTAACTTATTGTTCTCATCTCGTTGTACAGTTTTTTAAAATTTTTTGTTTGGTTTTGATTAGCGTACATGTGTTTCAAGTTTTTTGCTAAAAGTTTTTATTAATATTTAATTTTTTGTTAGTGATGAAATAATTGAAATATATGTCAATTTTTCGGCTGCAGGGCTTGTGGGTAATTTTTGTCTTAATTTCTGGACTAGTTTTTAGCAGTTTAGCACCGTATTTTTTTTTATTTTCCAGTATTTTTGTGAAACATTTCAAGGTACTCGCACATCGAATGTTTTGAAATACAGTAAATTTTTCAAAAGTTTTTCGAAGAGTTATCACAAAGTGACAATCTTTTTTGTCTTCTAAAGTATTTTGGCTTTCAAGTTTTGTGACTTCCAACTAGCAAGCGTTATCAAGCTGAAACATTGTCTTGTTTCAGCCTTATAACTGGTGAAACAAAATCAGTGAATAATTTGGTATCTTGTTTTTTTTTATTCAACTAACTCACTTTTTCGGCACATTTAACTTAGAACTAACGCCTGAAAAGGTTTAGTGTTCAAATACGGGCAGGACTAATTTTGCGCTTTGATTATTGTCTGCTCTTTAACAATCCCTATTTCAGACTGCCGTGTAACTGGAACTTTCGAGTGTACAAAAACTGGATTTTCAGAAATTTGTAATTTTTTATGACAATTTTTTCCCGGCTAAACGTGCGACTCCCCAAATTTGGTCTGCATAGTTGCTGCGCGGTAATTTTTGTCTCAAAGATATTTTTAAACTCGCAATCGTGTTCCCGGACAGGTTTTCATTAAATTGAGTTTCATTTAAGACATAGGTGTGAAATTTTTTTCGTGATTTGTTTTCGGCGTTTTTGGGACAAACGATAACGTCTTTGTGTGATAGTTTTTCGGATATTTTTTGGTTTTTGGGTGATATGTTGTATCGCAAGTGTTGGGAAGCTTCGCCTCTGTTGACTTTCGTTTTCTTTCTACGTTAAGTTCAATTCCATCGTTAAAAGGAAGGAAAGTTCCACAATAAAAGAGTTAAAGTATTTAGGTGATAAAAACGTGAACAACTTCTTGTTTCGAAAGATGATTTAAATTTTCAGATTTTCAACAGGAATAAGTTTTTGCCCATCGATTCAGTTTTCTCAGTTTTGGTTAATTATATTTTAAAAAGTCAATCATAAATTGTTCTTGAAGTTTAAAGAGCTTCAAGGACGTATATTTTTCAAAAGTTGAAATTTTTTTCAAAAAACATGTCAGTACTTTCTTCCGGTTTCTTGCGTTCATTGACTCTTTTCGAAAGTTTGTTTTTTCGTTTTCTTGCGTTGATTGACTATTTTCCAACTGTCTGTGGGCTGTGTTTCGCTTTCTTTGATTTCATCGACTTTTCCAACTTTCTTGATGGTGTGTTTTTTTATTCAAGGAAAACACCCTGTGAATTGGTCAGGCTGATTTTTCTTTTTTTACTGATTGAATTTTCATTTCTCTGAAGCTTGCTTCAAAAGCATTGACCAAATGGAAGGTTATCTAATTTTTCCTATAGCAAAAGTGTAGTTAGTGCTAAAAATTAAGCCAGACTTTTCGTCTTTGAAGTGTTCTTTGTTTTTAGATTATTTTGTAGATTTATAACTTAGTGTTCCTCTCCTCTTACATTCAATTCAGATAGTTTCTTGAGTTTCAAAGAGCTTAAAAAGTGAAAACAAAATTCAGGTTTTCTTGTTCATCAGCCTGTTTCCAACAAACTGTTGACTGTGTTTTTTTTTGCATTCTAAATTCAGTGTTTCAAAAGAAAATGGGGTAGCCACGGCATCGGAGATATAGTGAGTAATTTGCGGCATTTGGAGTATAGTACTAACTTTCCCCAGAAAGAAAAAATCTTCGAAGTTTTATGCTATGATAATTGTCGTCGGAGCTTTCTTTGCTTTCTTTGCACAGCAACCAGCTAGCTTCAATTGTGTAATTGTTTTTGACAAGTTCAGAAGCTGTATGGCGGTAGTTTTTTTCCTATTCCGTGGCACAAGAGTATTATTTTTTTTCCGGGACAATTGCGTATTCCTTTCGTCTAATTCATTCAATTCATTCCCTTTCAAACGCCTAACCTGATTCGCGGCGGATCTTTTTATCTATTGTAAACTCCTGATGTGAACAATGATGGAATCAATTTTGAAAACCATTTTCTTCTTTTTGTCTAATTCCTTTTATTTTCCTTTTTTGATGCTGTTTTCTATTCGTTTCTTTCTGTCTTCGAGCCACTATCTGAAGACTAACGGATGCTACTATCTGAAGAAAAATTGAAGATTCCATATTTGAATAATGTCTAGCAGACCCACTCTCCTAATTCGCTTCAGACGAGAGCGAACAGGTAAAAAAATAAAGGTGATATTCTGTAGCATTGAATATTTCTTCACGTGACCAATGCACGTGATCAATTCTTCAATTATGCAAATTGAACGATGCAACAAAATATTACCTTTACCTTTGAACCTATTTGTTTTCATCTTAAGCGTGATCGCAAATAAGGTCCCTGAGACATTGTTCAAATAAAAAAAATTCAAGTCAGATGAAAGCATCCACGGTCTAGAACTAGTAGAAATAAAAAGCGTCTGAAATGAAAAAATATATATGTTGAATTAGACTAGAAAAATAAAAAGCATCAATTAGGTGTTCTAAGACATTAACAGTGCTATAGCATAGCGTATAATTTTGCCCCCTGTCTCAGCCTAGTTGTCTTAGCTAGCGCGACTCCTCTCAAATATTATTGTAGTATTTCTGCATTAAGTTTGTTGGTGGCTGAAAAACTGATTAAGACACTCTGAATCAACGGTGAATTTGTGAATGACGAAGTTCTATATTAAGCAGCATTCGGTCACAACGGTTTTTAAGCAGACTAGCCGGAAAATCGACTATTAAAAACATTTTTTTCAACTGGGAATCAAATAGTTTTATGATGGACTTGTTGAATCAGGAAATATTGAATTATAAGTTCTTTCGATGAGTGCATAAATTATATTATGTGAAAATAACTTTGAGAGTTTTAATAGCATCTTCCCTGTGCTTTTAAATTTATTTGATTCTTGTATTTTTTGAAAAAAAAGCTGTCTAGGAAATTCTCTGAACTAAAGTTAGTATATTTAAAAATTTCTGTCATTGGAGCGATATGTTATTGAATAGTTTCTTTCCCATTGAGAAAATAATGCCTTCTATCGGTCTATTGTAAACCACGACGGTAGCTTAAAGCCTAATACCATTGATATACTCTATGCTATATGCCTCTGTGCTACTGCTGTAATTCAGAATGGAAAGGAACTGTTTGGAAAATGTTGCGTCTCTGAAATCATGTTTCGGCGATCTTAAGTAGTTCTAAGAATTTATATGGTAGATTATGACCATTGAATAGACTGAAGCCAGTGTAGTGCATAAAGGTTTGTATAGTCCTTGAGTTAAAAAAATTGTACAAAGTAGGACCATTTTTGGAAGCTTTCATATGGCATAAATGAAAAAAAAAACGGTTAAATGCATTTTAGTTTAGAAACTCCGTTATTGTTTGAATACTGATTCATTTTTTCAAAGCAAAGGTTTTTGTGATTTATTTGGACTAATATGGATTCGCTCCTTGATTGTGTCTGCTTATTGGTATATTATGAATGGAATTCAATATTAAGTGTTGAGTCTATGTTCAGTTATAAGTCTGTCTGTTTATTATTGTAGGTTGATCAAACTTTGCGGTCAAACTTTGACCTTGTATGACTCTAGTGAAAACTTGGTTTCATGCTTTTTGTGAGTTGAGCTAGTTAAGACCATTTAAGACTATCCACAAAGGAAAGGACCAAAATCCGAGCTGTTCAGCTTATCACGGTGAACCGCTGCTGTGCAGCTGGTTAAGAATTACATGCTATTTTTTTCTGGACTAGAATATGTTGTTCAAACGGGAAACGAGCTCAGATTTTGTTGGGCTTCAAACCGTTCGACCGAGACGCAGAGACTTTTTCATTTCAACAACCCTTACCTTTCAAAAGAGTTCATTAAAGGGAAAAATTTATATCGAAGTACAACGTGATATAATTTCTTTTGATATAATTTCTTTGGGCTTCGGTCGGCGGTTTGAAGACCAACAAAATTAGAAAAAGCTGAATTGCACTTGGTTGAAAGTTTTAAGCAAACAAGATATTTTAGAAAAACAACTCGATTTCACTCTTTTTAGCCGTTGAAAGCTCGATACAGATTTGCTTGGCTGTGCTCCTATCAAATGGTGGTTTTCTTGAATCCTTTCATTTTGCAAAAAAAGTATGATTAAGCATAATTTTTTCTCTCCTACAAAATGTTGAAAATGCATGAAGTGTAATAGGGCAGACTGAAAAGTGGACATAAGTCCCCTTGTCTGTCCCCTTCGAGTATCTTTTCATAAAGCAAGCTGCTTTTTACATTAATATTATTTCCTGCTGTTTTTGTTGAAATTTCTTTGTATGAAATCATTTGAAGAAATATATTTCTTTCTTTCTTTCGTCTTATTCTTACTTGTGTTCAAGTTTTTTTCTTTTTTTTTCTTGGGTGTTTATTTTTTTCTTGAGTGCTTATTTTTTTCAGTAACGAGAGCCTGTTTCGCATGGAGCGCAATCTGCTAGCAGCGAAGAGCAAACCGTATGGAGAACTGGGCATCCCAGACAGATTACAGCCTCCACAGGGCAAACACCTGGAGACAGTGAAACACTTCTTCAGACGTATGACGGAAACATTCTCACCCACTCACAAACTGGAGAACCTGCTTGCCGCCAGTAAAGCTATTTACATCTCGGTTAGTTCTCTTACAATTTTGGCATCTACTTAACATCCCCTTCTATGGTATCTACTAAAACATCTCCAATCTATAAATAAAGACAGTAAATTAGCACTAGAGATTGTATTGAGAATTCGAGTTTTGCTGCATTCCGAAATAAGTGAATAGTTTGAGCGTTTTACTGTAAAGCACAAGATCTGTTGATCGAATCCTAACTATGACGAATATAACATTTGTATTCTCACTTTTTTCCGGGGATTTTGAAACTTCTGTTTCAAAAGTTTGCTTTTTTGTTCGCGCCTAATTGACTGTGCTGGCAACTGGATCTTTTGAGACCAAGTGTGTTTTTATCTCTAACAATATTTAGCCTTGAACCTAATTCAAAAGTTGACCTTGGTTATACATAAAGTATTGATACAAGTGTACCGTTCTAAACGTTAATTTTGTATGCAGATCTAATTTACGAAGGAAACACACCCTTTTAAGCTTCTTATGTCAACTCTCGGTGGTGTTGAGGTTTTATTCCCGTTCAGTTGCTATCGCTGATAGTCAAATGGGGCGAATTTAATCCAAAAAAATAATATCGAACATGAAAGTGAAATTCACGACGTGATGGAATTTGCATTGGTAACGGTTTGAAAGGATTTTTTAATTTCTGTAGCGCTTTTTAGAAAAATATATTTTTGAATCTCCTGAATTCATTTTTTATCAAAAAACCGGACTTGAGGGTTCATTGCCCTTTTAGTAACTTGACTTAATGTGAACGATCTGCCTGATATGCTTACTACTCGTAAAAATTGAAAAATGCGACTGCCAATTGTAGTTCAAACTTCAATCTTGCCAATCACGCAGAGCTTTTTTAGAAAATATACAATTTTTACCTGTGTTTTTGTCAAATTGTTTAGACTAAACTGATAATCGAAGTTGTCAGGTATGATTGATTGATTGCTTGCAGGTGTCAATCAAAGTCAAATCTGAATTTATATGGTGGCTAATTAGAATGAGACCGATAAACATGATTTATACGTATACCTGTTCTCTGTCATGGCTTTTGACCCAAAATTAGACTTCTAAGAGGGATTTAACTAGTTTGCCTATAATTTTATTTAAGGTATCTCTATTTGAGACAAGTTTAAAATTGTTCATATTAGGCAGGGTTGCATTTTGAAACAATTTTGATGTGACAAAGAGCGTTTTTTTTTTCTTAAGAAGAACGTGGTTAATTGAGAATTCTTGGTTAATTGAGAAGCACGAAGACTGGCAATGTTGCGGATTCCGCTTCAATTCTTTTTTGACCGGTTACGAAATCCGCCTACAATTCACAAAATGCAGTTTTGCCTCGTAATGCGTAATAGTTTATATATTTTTGTAACGACTGAACATGTTGGCGTTTTCATGGGTCAAGTGAGGGAAAATTTATGATGATTTTTCAAGTGATTACTTCAAACTGTAATGAGCTCGTCTTAAATTTTTATTTGCTCGATTTACTTTTTGCCAAACAATATCAAAAAACTATTTGAAGTGTCAATAAACGAAGTGAAGACACTTATTCGTGACATGAATTATCTTCACAAGAAGATGTACATAACGCAACGCGGTAAAGTGATGCCAAAATTGACTCAATCTCAAAATTGAATCAGTCTTAGCAACATTTATTCCAGTCACAGTTGTTTAATAAACAAAGTTAAAGCGTCAATGAACGAAGTGAAGACATTTAGGTGTTTTTTGTTTAGGTCGAACCAAGTGGAGGTACTCTAAAGCCAGTGAGTGGCTTCTCAATGGGCGCCGAGGAGTTCCTTCCGATGCTCATCTACTGTCTAGTCCAGTTCAAGTTCTCAACTGTTGAGATAGAGGCAGAATATATTTGGAAACTGCTCCCTCCCCATATTGCGAGGGGAGAAGCTGGCTACTATCTCACTGCATTATCGGTTGCGGGTAAGTTGCAGAACAGTTTTGAAGTGTCAATGAATGCAATGACGACACTTATAAAAGTCGTGATAATTTTTTTTTCAGGAATACTCTTTGAAAGTTGTTCACCCTCAAATTCGATTTTTGGCGGTTTGACTTGTGATTTCTTTTCAAGTTCAGTGCATTTCCTTTGTTAAAAAGAAGACAAACGCCTCTATCGAACTGCATTATCTGTTTCGGGTATAATTTGGATAGCAGTTTTTATCAAGCTTTAAATACAACAAATCACTTAACCCATTTTTTGAGGGTTAAGAGTACTCGGCCGAAAAAATATGATTCACTCAACAAGCAATGAGAACTGATTATTACGGATTTCGAATTTGAATGATACTTCGTTTGCTGAGTAATAAAAAGAGCATATTATCGGCTGCAAGTAGCAATACAGAGCTGAAAAAACTAAAAGGCTCTAAATTCTTATATAAAAATCTTTATCGTAAACATTTGTAAATTATTTTTGATTGTTACTTTTCAGCCCATATTTTGAAGAATGTGCCTGAAAACACGACCCTGACATCCCCTGTGCACGAAAGTTCCGACCGGGACAGCCCCGATGGAGAGGGAGAAGGAACCCTATCGGCCCATGGAAACACCTCAACGCGCGGACCACGCGGAGACCATAAAACCGGAGGTATATATGCCACCCAATCTTTTTGTGGTTTCTTCACAACTTGTTGGGTTTAAATATGTCAATTTTAGATAAATAATTGAGTTTTCTCAAATTACAATTTAATTAATAATAAAAAACATAAATATTATATCCTTAAATTACTTGAGTTTTTTTTGAATCATAAATTAATGGTGTTGCAATTCAAACCTTAGAAATTGTCGTAAAAAACTTTTTGTCTGTTATGGACATTGAAAAGTTTTCTTAAATTCAGCAAGGTGGAGCTAGGATTGCCGTGAGGGAGCAATTTTTCAAGAAATAATTCTGCATTTGTTTACATCCGACAAAATAAAAAAAAAACAGGCCCATTAACAGTTAATAAGTGAGTTTTCTGTCATTTTTTTTTACTTTCAGCTATTCTTATGAACATTTTTTCTTTATTAGGTAACAGTTCGGGAATCGGTTCTGCGGGTGCCATCGGGAAACAAGGTATCCTCTCCTCGCCGCGTCTGTCACCATCAACCTCAACTTCTGCTAACCCCTTACAACGTCAGGGCGGGTCCCCGGTTGTAGGTGGACGAGGCAGCACAAGTGGAGGTGTAGGAGGAATTGGGCAAATGTTGCAGAGCTACTCGGAAAACTCGACACAACAGTTGCCGAACATAGCCGATTTAGAAGGTATTTGCACTTAATTCACTTTTGCCTAGTTAATACTCCTGCCTAGTTATTTGTTCGGTACCTGAAAATCTATCGTAAAACTAAAGCGGAAGTCGAATTCTCTGCTTAGACTTATGATTAGTTGGTCGAGAGTTCGAATCCCGAGTAAACTAAAAAAAAAAAAGATTATTTTCAATAACTTTGTAAATGTTTGTTGGATTATCATCAGTGTTTGAGAATCGAAGCTCCACCCTGTGTGAAGAGTCAAGTGTTTAATAGAAAACCATTAGGCCGATTATTTTTCATTTGAAGCCTGTTGAGAACTTATCATTTTTCGGTTATCTATGCGAAGTTGAATTTCGCCTGTATAAAAACATTAGGATGAAAGAAATTTAAATTATCCGACTTAAGTAAAAGCTGCTTATTAAGTATCATTGAAATGAAACAAGAGGGCGACAGATCGGCGAAGTGCTGGTACTTGAACAAAAATCATTCAAAAAAAAATTAAAAACCACAGCGTTTGTGTAAATATGTAAACTTGTAGTCAAGTCGGATAAATTGAATTTTTTCCATCCTTATGTTTTTATACAGGCGACATTTAAATACGCACAGATAAAAGAAAAATGAAAAATTCTCAACCGAAAAGATTTTATGTTTTTCATATTGGTTCTTTTTCGTCCGATGTAATCATAACTAAATCAAAATGTTAACTTATAAGGTTATTTTATATGGCTATTTGTGTTTTCAGGGTTTCTTAAAGTAGTCTTTCCGGATGAGAAGACAGAAACTATAATCAGTAAACTGCTGCCAGTGCCACCCTCGATGAGTGCGTTTGACGTGTGTGCCATGGTCGCCCACAAACTCAAGATATCCCACAACCCGGAGGACTTTGGACTCTATGTCGTCATAGAGGGAGAGAGTAAGTTCTTTTTTAAGAGTCCATCAACGTAGTTCAGACTTTTTTTATAGATAATTATGATTTTCTTAAGGAAAGGTCTAAATTTGCTCAAGCTCATTTTTACCGAGCTTTGACTTTTGATTTTTCAAGTTCAGTTCATTTCCTTGGTTAAAAGGAAGGCAAACTCCGGAAGGCGTAATTTTGAAGTTAATTAACTTGATTTTTGTTTTCACAGGAACCAAAATAGACGACAACCAATGTCCCCAAGAAGTGAAAGCCAAACTAGTGGTTGAAAATAAGAAACACCTCTTCGCCTATCAACGACACACCGCAAATATTTTGTGGGCTAAAACGTCGAATAATTCACCGCCCACTACACTTAACAGCACAAATTCCACTTCAGAATCACCGAATCAGACTTCAAAATCAACAACACCTAAGAAAATAACAACAGCATTACCTCACCAACACAAAACAGCAGCAAAAACCACTCCAGAATCAGCAAAAATATCAACAGGAAAAGCAGCAGCTTCTAGTGAAAAGTACGAAAAGGCAGCAACAAAAAGAGGTTTTTTGAAATCATCGCTAAGTACACCGGGAGTTATGTCACTTCAAAGTAGTAATTTCGTGGCGTTGCCGCCGTCGAATCCAAATGTCACACCATCGGGAGGAGGAACTACAGGAGCTTCGCTGCGTCTCCCTTTCCCTTCGGTGCGTCGCGCCAGAGGTGGGGGGAGTTTATCCCCGCAACCACGTCAAACTGTGGATAACCAATATGTATCGAGTTTCAATGAGGATACCCATTTATCAATGTCTTTACCTCACTCGGTAAGACATGGAATTCTTAGTAGCCCGGAACCTCCGAGTTTAAGCAGGAGTTTCAATTCGGGCAGCGGCTCGAAAAGTAGAAAAGGTGACCATCAAGTGACAACGTCTCGAAGCTGACCCCAAAATTAAAAGAAAAATTTTTGCTTCTGTGAAATTTCGGAAGGCTAGAAAACTCGAAAGGTCTGTCTTAAACTGGGTTATATGGGAGTTAGATTAAAGTGGAACTAAAATATGCTATGCTAAAAGTATAAAATAAAATTATTTTTGTTAAAAGAGTAATTTGGGAAGATCAAGAGGTCAAGTGTTAGTGTGATTTGTATAATATGTCGCCTGGAGAAAGTTTAAGAAATTAGTTTTTATGATTCTAAAATTTGGTGAATTATTTTTCACTGGAATCAAATAAAAAAAACATGTATCACATAAGAAGTAGAAAAACTCTATTAAAAATTTTCCTACATGGTGAATAGATAAAACAGACTTATCTTCAGACTTATTTATTGTGCTATTTTCTTGAAGTTTGGTTTACTGTTTCTCAATTGTGCTAGTTTTGAGTCCTTCAACTTTATACGTGGTGGGTGCAGATAACTTGTGCAATTTTCATACATTTTTTCAGTTATACGAAGTCGTATATTTCTACCCTCTCTCCTCACAAGAAAAGGCATTCTCAAGTTCACTTGAAGTGAAACTCCCCTCCTATTTTAAGTGTGTCCCAAGTTAATTTAGGACACCAGAACCTCGAAACCCCAAAAAATAATTGGATCTATTTCAAATAGTCTCGCAGTCTTTTCATAAATCGCCGTCTTTCGAAACATCGAAGTTTATCGCCGTAATCAACTCTTAGCTTCAATACAAAGTTTTTCCCGCAACAATTGTTATTCAACCTAATTCTGACACGTTGCGGGTTTTAAATTCTACGCCACATATGAAAATAGGAGTTTAGACTTCTCGAAATTTATTCATAAGCTGAGTTGAAATGACGGTTTGATTATTTTGAGTAGATTCAATTTAACGAGTATAATAGTGTTTATTCACGAGTAATGGCGTAGGAAATCTGTGAGTCGAATTCGATTTTTTTTATTGATGATGATTTAATACTATATATGGCAAAAATGTGAAAGAAACATGGTCAAATTGTTTTAAAAATTTAGAGTTGAAAAAAGCCCTAAATTAACAGAAAATTATACGTTCTGATTTGGAGTTTTCATCATCTTGAATTTATCTGATCATCAATTTTTTACTCTATAATAAGTGAACAAAAATGTTATCAAGATTTACTTCACGGCGGAAGGCTTAGTAGTTTATCTTTGATGCATTAGAAAAGCATCATCAATATAATTGGTTGAATTCTACAATTTATTTGATTAGATAACGTTAAAAAGTCATTAGCTTTGTGAGTGTGATGATATAAAATTTGAGTGATGTGATGTTTTTGCACTTGAAAAGAAAGCGTTATGTCTTAATATTGATTGTAATTTGGTTTAGTAGTTAAATGAACTATTTAAATGAGTTTTCACTAAAAAGTTAAACTGAAATTTGTATTTCTTTAAAATTTGGTGCTCTATTTTAAACTCGTCTTAACCCAAATCTTTCCTGGACAAAATTAATCTTCGGCTTAATAATAAATCGAGTTGATTTGTCAGCCGATGAAATACTCGAGAATATTGTAGAAAAATGCGTGAAAACGTCAAACTTGTGTTAATGAGAAGTGAATCACGAACATAGCCATTATGAAGAAGTATAAATTTAGTAATGTTCGATTAATATTAATAAATGATAAATTTGAATGGACTGCTATAGATTGATGTGATTTATATTTTGTCAATGCTCAAAATAGTTTTTGATATGCATAAACATTATTCACAATTGTTGCTACGCTGAGCGCATTTTAAATTCAAAACCTATTTTTCTACCGCAAACCCTGTTTTATACTCATCGTCTAGTTAGCTAGTTGAGATTTTCTCAGTTTTTCAACTGAGAAACAAACGTAAACAAACAAGCAAACGCTTTTCACATATTATACGTTAAATGTTTCAAACAAAATGGCAAAAGTTTGTGCTCAATCTCACTGGAGAGCGATTAAGTTGCAGGTGTTTTATCCACTTTTTATGGAAATCTGTGTTTTTAATGAGTCGTGTAAATTTTATATGGCAGCTAGACACTTTGATCAACCAAGAAAACAAAGGCTCCGTAATCCAGAGGTCATCGGTTCTGATCCCGTAGTTGGACATTTTTAGAGGCGATGAACGTAGGTGAGTTTTTTTATATAGATCGTGATGGTTTTCCTTTTTTTCCTGGAAAAGGTCTGTCGCAAGTTAACGTTTTCACGATTTGAAGTTTGATTTTTTTCAATTCAATTTACTCAGGCCAATTCCACTATCGAACAGCTAACGTCTCGAAAAACGTCATTGACTTCTAATTTCGAAAATGATATTTAAATATTAGATTTCCCAGCTCAAAACAAATGAACTATTTATCCAGTTATCTCAAATTGGGTTGATTTTATCAAAAAGCGTCAATCGTAAATTGTTTAGAAACTCAAAGAGTTCAAAGACCATCTATTTCTTCAAAAATCGAAAGTTGAGTTTTTTAACAAAAAACAAGTCGGTCTTTCTGTTTGCTCGCCTTCATTGACTTCTTTTCCAACTGTCTGTTGGCTATGTTTTCATTTTAATTTTTTACTTGCTTTTTTAAATGGTATTATTACGCTTGAGATTAGCAAGCGTTATCAAATTATATACTTTTTTCGGGTTAACAACTTGTTTAACAGAATCACTTGGTATCTTGGTTCATAATGAATTCAAATTTCCAAGTGTCTCCGGTACAGAAAATAACGAACACGCTTGAGACGGCAAAGGTCCTGCCTTTTCAAACGGGGAGTATTCCGTTTCACAAAAAGATGGATTATTATTTTTCTGCGGATATTTTGCCGGATCGCACGAACCTTAAAAATCTTAGAATAGAATTTGAAGTTCCAAGATTTCGCACGAGAATTGTTTTTGAATTTTCATTAAACGCCGTCGAATGTATTTCTGGACGTGTTTGCCGCAAATAGAACATCATTCTAGACAACTTTATAAAAGTTTTTCAGTTGTGGGTTCTTCCAAAATTTTACCGCTTTCTTTGGACAAAGTGGCTCTTTTCCTTTCCTGGCTGCTAGCTTGCAATGCTATTTTGTGGGAATCGCAAGTGATGCGAAGCTCCACTTTGTTTCCGTGCAATAATATTTGTGTTCATTTGAAGAGTTACAATAATATGCAATAACTAAGCATTACAATTTCTTCACTTTTTGTTTTTCATTTTTTTGGTGTCCACATTTTTTCTTCCAAATTAAATCAGCATAATAAAAATGTTGTATTAGATGTGAAATTTCTCTGTTTTTCAGTGTTTTTTTTTCCTTTTTCTGTTCTCAAACTTATATTTTTTTCAACTTAAAATAGCATATCAAAAGAAATCAATAAGCAGTACAACAAGTAATTCATTTTTAGCCAGAGGCCTTCTTCTGGGGCTCTATTAATATCGGCACTACAACAAAAGTATTGTTCTACGGCGACCATTGCCCTTAGTATACTTAAATGAATAGCTTAAGGAAACGTAATTGTCATTATCGCTTAATTTTTTGCTGAAAAGCCAAGCTCGAGTGACGCTCTACACTTCTTCATGCAAAATTAGATCTGGTTTTGAAAATGACGACGAGAACAAACTTATGCTTTTTTGGTTCGTTCAACTTATGCTATCGGTGGCGTATGTTCACTAGATGAGTTTTTATTGTTTTTTGGCTTGAATTGCCCTCTGTTTTTTCATTTTTCATTCGTATGAATGTAGTTTAGACGCTTATATAGGTCGCGATGATTGTTTCATTTTTTTTTCAGTTGCATTTGGCCTCAAAATGTTTTTTTTCTTCAAAACTTGATGAGTTTTTTTTCTTCAGTTGATTTAGTCAACCATCCCGGAGACCTAACCCGGAGTTAAGAGTAATGAACGTAGTGAGTCCTGATGATTTTTTTTTTCAGTAAAAGTTTTAAAATTTGATTCAATTTGTTGCGGTTTGGTTTTCGATTTCTTTTTCAGTTCATTTCCTTTGCTAAAGGCATCATTTAAAGGCATCTTTTTTCTGTTTAATTGCGTTCATTGACTCTTTTCCAACTGTCTGTTCGCTATGATTTCGTAATTTTAGCCTAAATGATTTTGGCTGATCTTCTGTTTTTTTTTTTGTAATTTGGGCCTAACTGATTTTGGCTTATCTTTGTATCCGTTTAAGAACTAAAAACTTGATACTAAAAACTTGTTTAATGCTTGTTGTGTTTCTCGTCTGCTTATATGAAATTGATTTTTTCATTTTTCCAAAACAAAAGTTATTGGTTTTTTCAAGTATTGTTTCGACTTATATCCAGTTTTTTTTTCAATTTTCTTTTATTTCACTTATTTTGTTTCTTAAGTGATGCGAAGCTCCCCTTCGCCTCTGTGTCCCTTTTCATTTTTTACAAAATAACACGACGACGTGGGAATGGTTACTCCCATTAAATTGGAAATGGATTTGGAATAGAAACGAAATTTAAAAATAATAGTAATTCAAACAGTATTACTATAGAGCACTTAAAATTGACTTATCATTAACAGCAGTAACAACACAAATAACTCAAAAATACGGGCCAAAAGACATCTTGGAAACTCGATCTGTTTTGGGAACGGTTTTTGAATTACCGATGCTTAGCTTCTGGGTTGAATGTTATAACTAAGGCTTGGGAGCAAAGTTATACGAAACAATAAGCCAAAAGAAAAGGCATTACACTTTCATAAGTAAAAGCAAATCTAGTGCACAAAACGTGAGCGTCAGTATTCTTTGAAGTTCAATTTTAGAACTTATTGCTCATCATTTATATAAATGATTTTTGTGGTGAAACACAATCAGAATTGATTTTATACGCCACTGCCACAATTTTTAGTATCAAGTGAAAGAGATCAAAGAAGTCAAAAATCAGCTGAATGCATCATGCAAATTAACAGCATGTCTTGAGCCAGCAAAACGGCGTTGATTGCCTACTAAACCATAGCATAATTTTTTTAGAGAAAGAAACCTGAGTGGACGAAGTATTCAAACTGATAACATAGAAAATAAAATTAGGAAGTTCTTCAGGTATTTAAATGCTATTATCGACAAGATTTTTTTTGTTTATGATTGAGTTATGATTTTCTCACTACTTTTAATTACATTTATTACTTTTAATTACACTATTTGTTACTATGAGAGTGATTGTTCCGATCATTTGAAAAATTGCGAGGAATTTGTTTTAGAGTGTGTTTTTGTTTTAATGTTTTTTATTTATTTTTATTTTCCACGCAAAATTAGCTACCACAAGTAATCATTGGAGAGAGGTACGTGATACGTAACTTTAAAGACCTTTCAGTCGTGATTCGAACGAAATTTAAAAATTGAAAAAAAAAAACGGTTGGAAATTTTTGTTCATTAAAAAGATCCAAGGTCTGTTACGGAATCGACTTCAAATTTTGAAAAAAAAGAACAATTTATTACAGGAAACTAGATGAGCGTTAACGCCAATTAATCAAGTTCTCAAAAAACGGAACATGAAGTGTTTGAAAAACTTGGAAAATTAGTGAAATTAACCAGAACTGAGAAACTTTTCGATTTTTTTGAAAGCAAAATAAGATGGACAAAAACAAGCTGCTTCTACACGTATCATTTTCAGCTTAAAGAACATCAATTTTTGGTGAGAATTTCATTAATTAGTAGCTGGTTTTCATTTCACAGATGAGCATTTCGCAGATGATGAACGCGTCAGAAAAAGGGACGCTTCTTTTTTAGGTATTCGACTAACTGACCTTTCAAAGGAGCTTTTAAGCACGAAAATAACAGATTAGTGGACGCAACTATATTGAGTTTTATTTCAAGAAGAGAAACTCGTTGCTTTGATATCTTTCGTCATTGAGTTTATCTTTAGCGCCTGGAAACCATCCCTTATGCCCTAATTTTTGTTCATCAGTTTGTAATAAGCGTCAAATATCAAATAAGCACCATCATTATTTAAAATGAGCATGTTTCAAATATTACAATAATTTCTGGATTGAATTTAATGGTTATAAAATCAGTTAGTTCCTCGAGCTTACAAAAAAGTCCACCAGGATTCGAAAACGTTTTTTTTAACTACACTGGATGTTCTGGTTTGCAAAATTATCCATTTTATTTTACGTACATCATATCTCTTGAGATAGTTTTTTTCTCGGTAGTAACTCCCCCGTAAGAGAGTGCAATGGTGTCAATTGGGAGGGGTTTCAGCTCTAACACGAGCAGTTATGCTTGACCCTTATAACAAGTTCTTAGAGCGTCTTCGAAAATTGGAAAGGGCGATATTTTTCACTTGTCGATCCATTAGTTTTTTTTGTTTCTCAAATCTATGGTTTGAATAATTTGCGCTGGTGTTTATCTCTATATGTTTCGATAATCTTCTTTTTGGCTGTAGAGGTCTAAACATGATTCGTGGATGACTTTTTAGGTTGATCAAAGTTTGCGAAAGGAAGTTCTGATTAGTTGACAACTCATTTGACAGTTACTCTATTTTCGCTAAAATAAGTATTTGAGAATTGATTGCTACAAATTAGTTAATTTAGGAATTTTATGAAAATTTTGGAGCGCAGAAGAGAAATATAAAGCTTTATCTCGGTTCTTTTCATAATTTTGATCGATGAGAAGACTCAAATGATTTCAGATTAGGGAATCCTATGGTTATCCGATCAGTTTCGAGAAAGTAACTTGTTTTCGTTTTCCTTTTAATTTTCTAAACTCGTTAATTTGATGAAAACTTGTCAAATCTTTTTCTCTCAAAAATTTTTTGCTTTTTGATTTGATAACCATTAAAGATTTTGATTTAAGCATTCGAAACCGATAATTGGTGCCCTCTTA